TCAAAAAAGAGGCATATTTAAACCAGGGTGGTCTTCAGTCTTACGTTAACACGACTAGCTAGCAGGTGAAAAGTCGTCTTACAATCTTTTGTTTTTTGCTTTATTTTGTTTTGTTTTGTTTTAAATATATCTATTAGCATTTTTATTCTATTTCTTATTTTGGAGAGGGGGATTGTTCACTTTTTTTGTAAAGGCCTAAATTAGGGCATACTTTGCTCTTACAGGTTAATATAACAACATAACTTTGCCATTTACGTGTATTCAATAACAAACACTTGGGCATCATAGATATCATAAATTATTTTCCAGAAGAATACAAATGTCTCATCAGTCTGCCTAAGCCCTTGGTGCATAACTACCTATGAGTAAAAATTAATATAACAACATAACCTTGCCATTTACGTGTATTCGACAACAAACACTTAGGCATCATAAAAATCATAATTTATTTTCCAGAAGAAAACAAATGTCTCACCAGTCTGGCTAAGCCCTTGGAGCATAATTACCTATGAGTAAAAAATAAATATAGAAACAGTAATTTCGACTTGCAGAACGGGCTTAGTTTGTTACCTTTTTTCCTCCTTCCTCACTTTTTTCCCTTGAAATTCTATGTCATTTATAGTTTTATCACATTTTCGGCGACAGGAAAGAAAAAAACCAATAAAAAACGCAAGCTGTTACCCACTCTTATCAGCGGCATGCTACGAGGACGAGAACATGTCATCGAGATATATGTAGAAACATTCAAATTAAAGCTGCTGATAAACTCAGTGTCACTATTGGGTCAAATTTCCCTTACCTTTTGAGAAGAATGCTACATAATACTTCTTCTTGTGCAACCCGTAGGCTATCATTGCTACGATGATCACCAAAACTGCCTCTTCTCCAAATACACAGAGTACAATCAAACCAGGCTTGGCTACAAAAGGACCAAAAAAATAAAAAGCGTGGTGTTATGTGGCCAGGCACAGATTATTCCATAAAACATGTTAGCAGAAAAGTAATGAATTGAAGATAAAACTCGATTTGATTCCGAGTGCGTATATTCATAGGAGCATTTCTCATTTCCTGTTTCTACATCAATTTGGAGTTTGGCGTGTCGATTGGAAGGAAGAAAGGACCAAGATGAGAGCGAAAAGTGAGACACCTGTCTCCAGTTTCCCAACAGTCTTCTTATCCTAATGGGACTAAAACATTTTATTTCAGAATAAAAACTTCCTAACTAATAATGAAGGTACTGGCTAAAAAAAAAGAACAAAAATCGCCCTATTGTGTTTCTTTTTCCAATTTTGTCGCTGTTCGATTAAACACTTTATCAAGACTTTCCGTGAATTTCCAAGACTTTCTGTGAGGCCACAGGCGTGCGCTTTTATTAGTCCTCCATCCAGGGCACCTTATTACTAACCATAGATATCATTGCAGTGAGAGCAAGGCACATAAAACAGAGAGTACATCGTAAGCTTCAAATCATTTGAACTTGTTAACACAATGGGTGAGTCCTTTTTCTTTTCATTATCAGAGAAATACATGGCCTCTGATTGATCAATCGGTATACCATACCTTGCTCTGACAAGTAGTCTCCATAAATACGTTAAACAGTAGAAAACTGCATGTTAAACTTGCACCTGGGTTCATTGTCATCTCTCTTTCACTAAAATATACTCAAGAGTTTCACTAACTTAACTTATTTTCTTACCTTTTTTACAATCTACTCCCT